ACAATGTCTTCATCACCCCCATCCTCATAGAAACTAGCTAGAGCAAGCTGAAAGGACAGAATTACAGCGGGTTTTAAAAGAATAAGCCCAATCACCTCGCACATCATTGCAGTCACAAAGGTATCTATTGAAAAGATTAATATACTGCATTTACTTCGAACTTTTGTCACACCCAATCGCTTAAACCACATCTACTCTAAGGAATTTTACAAACCAGTTTCCATCTTCAGAAATCTTAGCAGAGACAAGGCTCATCTAGCAGCTTCTTTTTACTGCCATGGTAGGGGTTGCCTACACTCAAAAATTTACTGAAATGGCTCTTCTGGAATAACTCTTTGTGGGGATACTCTTATTCCAGAAGAAGAGTGCTTGTTTCTGATTTAGTTTAATCTACTTCTAAAGTGGATTTAGCCAAATCTGAAAAAGGCGGTCTTCTTCCAGAATAAGAGTATCTTCATGGGGACTTATACACAAATAATTATTACAGAATAGCTAGTTCAGTAAATTTCCAAACGTACACAAGCCCTTAATTAAAATGTGCTAGTGTAGACATGGCCAGAGGGTAAGTTTGCAGGGAAAAAGGCAATTGGTCAAACTGGTGATCACACATTCACTTACAATTTTCGGGTCCTGTTCACACCATGGATGAATCTGTACTAGCAATAACTGGTTTTCACCACTTCTGACCAGGTGGATACCATTTACCGATCCTTCCACTCTACCTGACTGGCTAAATGCAGGAGTCTGTATCCTACACAACCTCGATTAAGCATATTGCATAGACTTTGAATAGTTTCAGGCAGCTGAAATTAGGATAAACAGAGGAATTTTCAGTGCTCTTAATAGATATGAGAGGACCACTGCCTGTTTGGGTTAATCACACTTCTATAGAATCTTATACCTCAAGCTAACAAAACTCAGTGATAAATATTATTTACCTGAATAGGAGATTGCCTCAGGCAGTTACATAGAGATTTGTAAGGTTACAAAATGGAAGTGATTTGTCACTCCGTTCTTTCACTTGATGATTTAATCTGCCTCTAAAGAGTTTCAGTTCATATTAAAGTATAACAGGTATGGGGGGGGGGAGGCAACGCATTACTGGACAATATTGTGAGTCAAGACTCTTGGCTCCATCACTGTGTGAACGTGGCTAGACAAGTCACTTCATTACTGTGCCTCAGTTTCCCTATCTGGATAATACTTATGCGGATGGTTCTGTGAGGCCTAATCAATGCTAGTAAGGAGCGTTGAGATTTTCAGATGAAACCATGTGCTAGAGAAAAGTGAAGGGAGGGCAGAGACTTGGTTTCTGTCATGCACCAGAAGCCCGCGGGGATTTACAGGCGATTAACTGCAGCCACATCCTGAGAAAGGCGCCAGCTCCAGGCAGGCTCCTGAGTGTCCCTCCCCGCAGCCTGCGGGGGACGCGGTCTCTGCGATGGCTTTGCACAGGGGAGCCAGTGGCCGGTTCAGGGGGTGCAGCGCCTGGGAGAACAGGCCGGGGGGGGGGCTCTGCTCACGCGGGCACCGGCTCGCGCCCAACGAGCAGGAAGAGCGGCCGGAGCCCGGGGGGGGGACCCTGGGGGGAGAAGGGGCCGCGTGGCCGGGGGGCCGGCCGGCAGTGAAAGCGGAGGAGTCGGGGCCA